CCCCAAAACCCCAAAACCCCAAAACCCCAAAACCCCATTTAAGAGCTCTGAAATGGAGTTTATATAAAAATAAAGATGTGTTGCATCATGTGAATGTTCGAAGAGAAATGAGTGAAGATCACTCTTTTCTTCGTATCCCTCCTCCTACTGGTAAGTATATCCCAAACCCAAAGCTTGTAGCCCGCTGGCTGGTGGACACCAGCCAGCGGTGGTCTGCTACAGCCTTCTGGTTTTGTACAGAATTACTATCCACCGAGGGAATTTTTGAAAATGACTGGATTTTCATGGAAGATGTTGACCACAAAGGAGATTTGAAAATTTGAAAATGGAGCTTAGGGAAATTTGATTGGGATTTTAGATGAATGAAAGATTTTAGAGAATTTGGGTTCAGAATTTGGGGAAGAAGGGAAATGGTGGAAGTGGTGTGAGAATAGGGGTTGGCGGTTACACTTGGTGATAGCAAAATTAATGAAAGTAAATGTCTGTTGTAGATAATTTAGAGCCAGTTCTTACCCTTAAGGGCTTGAGAGCTTTAGTATAGAAATTTTCCATAATCCAGACTTTGACAAATATATCTGTTCACCACTTTAACAAGATGTTAGAATGAAATTTTTCAAATATTCTGTTTATAATATCTAAAATCACTTCTTTGCTATCAAACCTTATCTTAGCCAGCAATGCCGAAGAGTGGTGAATTTTTACAATATAACTCCATATCCACTCGCCTTAATGGCGAAATATACTCTCCAAATTTTCACGGATATTTCATACTGTTTGGTTTATTTTTCAAATTTATTACAATAATACTTAAACCACATATTTTTACCTTGAGCTATAATAAAACATTTCACTAAACACTCTCTAAAGCCTTCAGATTATTTAAACTCTCTGTGTATGTCCTAGTTATGGCTAATAAGTTCGCCTTCTTTTTAGGTAACGAAAATTAACAGGATTTTTAATAATTTCTCTGAACCAGCCAAGTTTAGTTACTCTGACCATATATTTAGACAAGGAAAGCCCCCATTATATCTAAAGTCTGGATTTTCTGATAGTAAGGTGGCTGACAGAAGAATAATATTTGCCCGTTGACATTTTAATAAATAAGCTTCACTTTGGAAGAGGAGGCTTGCCTATTTAAGCAAATCTAGTAGACTTCTAAAGTATTCGTTAGGAAGTTTTATTAATAAATACCTAATTTCACCAAATTAGCCGTTCTGCTTTAGCCAGGCCGGAACCAGCAGTCTGGGGCTTTGTACCTTCTCCCCTACTACTTTCACTCCTCTCAATATTTCTTCCCAGGACAAAATCTAACCATTCATATAGGCTGGATGAGTAGTCTCAATAGTGTTCGGATTCATTGCCAGGAACAATCCCATTTATGGTATCGTTGGAGTGGCTTTAGAAGTGGATCTCCAACAAATAGTATTCATATTCTGTCTGGTTGCAGGAATTGTCCTTCTTTTTGTAATGGCTTGTGGAATGGGGACTGCTACGAAGAGATATTGCTTCCTTCACTACACATTTGGTATCTTTCTATCACTAGTTACGGTATTGTTCATCATACTAGGAGTTGCCATGACAGCTATTGGTTTCGGACTTGCAGACCAGTTACAGGAGCTTTGTTCTTCTGAAAATACAGATAGTGATTTCCAAGAAGCTATGAATGAACTGTATTTCCGTTGTGATACATTTTATTGTACTGTCCTCTGTCCTTGTTATATCGGATCAACATTATATTTCACAGGGAAAACAGCAGCTACGATTAATCCATACGACAACACAAAAGTGCAAGATTGTAGACAATACATCCAAGCTGCCTACTCTACATACAATCTTGAATTCTCAGACATTGACCACATTGTTGAGTTCCTTGATTACTTCGGAGAAATTGAGATGGAGTACAAATGTTCAGGGATCTGCAAACTTCAAACAGTCTACTACTTCGGAGACTCTTCAAGAGGTGAACCCCCAAAAACATGCAAAGACCCTATCAGAGAAGACCTTCTTATAGGTGAAATGGGTTTGATGGGAATCGGATATCTCATCATTGGTGTGGCTCTCTTCGTTGTTCTGTTTGTCCAATATGGACTCTGATGCAGGGAAAAAGATGATAGATACAGTGAAGATGATAGTAGCCGCAAGTATGATGGAAGTCGTTATGAAAATCCTAAACCTTATGCAGCACAAAGAGCTCAAAATTATGAAATTTCTCAACCTAATGGAACAGGACCAGCATATGTTAACAACAACCCATACATGTAAATCCTTATATTTGAGCCCTTAGATCAACTCTGAAGCTGAATATGTATTTCTGGCTCTGAAGAGATTTATTAGCAATTGATTAAAATCCAAAAATATATTCAATAAACTCTCAATTAAAAGGGGTTTTGGGGTTTTGGGGTTTTGGGGTTTTGGGGTTTTGGGG